AAAAGATACACAAATGGCCAATAAGCACATGAAAAAATGCTCAACACCATTAGTCATTAGGGAAATGCAAATCAAAACCACAATGAGATCCCACTTCACACCCACTAGGATGAATAAAACACAAAAGACAGAAAATGCCAAGTGATGGTGAAGCTATAAAGAAACTGGAACCCTCCTACACTGCTAGTGGAAATGGAAAATGGTGCAGCCACTTCGCACAGTCTGGTAGCTCCTCAAAAGGTTAAACATTGAGGGACCAGAGGACCCAGCAACTCCACTCCCAAGTAAGTACATACTGCAGAGTAGCAAAAACATATTCACACGAAAACTTGCACATAGATGTTCACGGAAGGATTACTCATAACCACCCCAAAGTAGAAACCCAAGGGCCCATTAATTGTTGAGAAGATAAAGTAGGGTTTACCCACACAATGGAATATTATTCAGCCATAAAAAAGAGTGAAGTAATGACACAGGCTACCTACAACATGGTTGAACCCTGAAAACAGGCTAAGTGAAAGTCAAATCTGCATTATTATATGATTCCATTTATATAAAATAGGCAAATTCATAGAGACAGAGAGTAGATTAGTGGTTGGGGGCACTGGGGGTAGAGGAGGCGAGGGCTGAAGGGTCTGGGCTTTGTTTCTATTGAGGAGATAAAATATCTCAATCAGAGCAGTGGCAGTTGCACAGCTCTGTGAATACTTTAAAATCTTCTGCACTGAACACTTTAGAAAGGTAAATTACATGGCGCATGAATTTTATCTCCATGCAGCTAGTATTTAAACAATGAACTCTACGTGACAGACAATATGTAACATGGTTTTCATGATCTCCTTCTCTTGCTTATTATCATATTGACGTCCGTCCTGGTCCACCCCGGTTCAGACCAACCCCGCCCTCTGAACACGCATCTCCCTCCAAATCCCTTTTGACCTGCAGACACCTGGGAGGCAAGCAGCCCACATCTCCACAGGGCCTGGGGCCTGGGCAGCGTCTCTGAGCTGCCACGCATGCGCATAGCTGTTGTGCTGGAGACGAGTTTGTCTCCAGACAAACCTGGGGTTGGGGTGAAGACACAGGAGGAACCGATATTCCGCATACGTCCTTGAAGCCCCCTTGCTGGCCAGTGGAGCTGAACCAGATCATAAAGCTCACTGGCCCCTGCACACCTCTCTTCCCCTTTGGCCATGACCACAAGACGACCCCTTGCAGATGGCGGAGCCGCGAAAGCAGCCGGGACCCTTAGTCTTCACCCAGGAGAACTGGAGACCCAATAAGCTTGTGCAGGAGAAAGAGGGAGATGTACTGTGTGAAGGCCTGAGATTTGGGGTTTGTTTATTGTGGCACGACTCCCCTTACTAATGATGGCCTTTCAATGAGTGCAGCCTCTCTGGTCAGCCCTCGGAGGCCTGCCAGGGCCCCTCTCGACCCCTCCTTGGCTTCACATCCCTCCACAGCTGGCACTGAGCGGTTTCCTCACTCGCCTGATGCTGAAAGCACAGATGTCAGTCGCCGTGACCAGTGTCTCATCTGCCCCAGCTCTGGACCTGGGCTCTGGACCTGCTAGTATTTCAGACCCTCACGCCTCCCTGCCCACCTGGCAGCTGAGCAGGCAGAGGCACCGAGAGGTTGTCCCAAGAGCACGCAGCTGCAAGGGGCCACGTCTGGCTTTGACCCCGAGTCCACTGGTTCTGGCTTGCCTTGTGCCAGCTTCACTTCCCTTTGGTCTCCAGCATTGCTGTCCAGCCCAAGTCACTGTGGCTGGAGGCCTGTCCTGGGCACCCAGAGCAAGCTGTGAATGCACCACTGAAGCAGGGTTTGAGGCAACACCCAAGGGGTGGGCACGGCTCTTGAGATGGAAGCCTCTGAGTCAAGGTTCCAAAGGCATCATCCCTGGGGAGCGAGGACTTGGCACAGGCACCTTCCAGCCAGACCCCCAGCAGGCACACAGGATGAACACTGGCGGACACAATCAGCCAAGTGTGGACTCCCCAGGAAGAGCAGCAGGAGTGAAGCTTCCTAGTGCCCCCTCGCTGTCTCCTTCACCCCAATGCATGGGTGAGCACGCGCAGCTCCGCGCAGGGCTGGGTCCCGGGAGCAGACACCACCCCTCTGCTGGGAGCTGCTCACCCTGCCAAGTCCTGCCGCATCCTGCAGTGACCTGCCCTCACCTCGTGTCTTTTCTGGTGCTCAAGAAACTCAAGGGGACAAGCAGGGAGTCACTCGGGGCTCCTCCTGCCCATGTTCCTTCACCGCCTGCCTGGTCATCGCCCCAGAGATCCTGGTGTTCCCCAAGGCCCTGATCCCATTCTCAAGGGTGCTCTCTGGGCTGGGGTCACTATCACCCAAGACACCTGCAGCAGCTCCTGGAGGGCCACGTGCTCCAGGCCCCCTCCCCACCCCATATGGTCAGGATCATCCTAAACTGCTGACGGCATCATAGCCCGAGGGGGTCCTGTATAAAACTCCCCAACAGTTTGCAGCCCCTGCCTCCCAGAAGTCCCCCGCTGCCCACCTTCTCCTCTGACACCAAGGTTCTCACCATGGACACGTGGGGCCAGATCACTCCTCGCTGCGGGGCCACATGTGCACTGCAGGATGATCGGCAGCCCCAACCCGCACCGGCAGGTGCTACCAACACATCCTCGCAGCGCGCCAACCTCGCTCATCTCCTGACACGGACAAAGGCCGCTGCTCCACCCGCGCCCACCCGGGGCCCATCTCCTGCCCTTTCCTTGTCCCTGCCCCCTCCTCCTCCTGCTAAGATTTGACTCCGCAGCATCAGCCTCCCAGAAGCCTCCCACTGGCCGGCAGGTCTGAGGACGGCTTCTCCGGACCACACTCTGTGTCCCTGTGCTCGGTTCCTCAGCTGAATCGACTCACTGAGGCTTGGCACCGCCCCTGCAGGGGCCCCTCTGCAAGGCGGGGTCCTCAGGACCCTGGCATGGGCCTGAAGACGCACAATGACGGAGGAGCACACCCAGAGACCCCCGGGCAGGAGCAGGCCTGTGGCTGGAGGGGCAGCGAGGCTGTGTGGAGGGGTGTTCAGGCTGAGCAAAGACACAGGGGGTTAGACAGGAGCAGGGGGCAGCGCTGTGGCAGGAAGAGCCTAGGCGAGGCATGGAGTGTGGAGTGATCTGGCCCCACGTGTCCACGGAGTGTGGACGGTGAGATGGCTGGGAAGTGACAGTGCCAGAGAAGTAGGCGCCTGTGGGGGGAGCAGCGGGGTTGGGGCGGGGGAGCAGGAGGAGGCCCAAGGCATGCTTAGCAGGATGAGAAGTTTGGATTATAAGCTTGGGAGATGCTTTGTTAGCTGCTGAACTGGTTTCTGTATTGCAGGCCTTCTCAGAGCCCTGAAGATGCTACGTGCTGGTGAATCTTTGCAAGGGGGAGAGACAGCTTGCAGTGGGGCCCAACTGGACCAACCACAGAGGTGATTGTCACAGGGCTCTCGAGTGACCTGGGTTCCACAGCCTTTCCTCTAGAAATAGCTGCTTGGTGCTAAGACACACGGGCTGCATCTTGGGGAGGGGGCTCCAGCCGGGACTCTGGGTTTGGGGACAATGGCTCTGAGGGTTGTTTGAAGGCTTCAGGCCCAAGGTTGGGCCCCTGACCCCTGTCCCTGGGCTCTGGGGCAGCTGCAGCCTGGAAGCCAGTCAGGCTCCTGCGGGAGGGGCAGTGGGAAGGGCTGGGAGGGTAGCACAAAACTGACCGAGGCTTTGACCACCTCCCCCAGGCCCTGGGGCCATAACATATGGTGTGGTTTAAAAATTGAGGAGCACTTAAGGGAAAAATGTTGGCAGGCTCTGAGGCACTTGTAAACCCGTCTGAGCCGACTGGGCGTCTGGTCTCCTCCCTCCAGGAGGTGGAACAGCGCTGAGTGGGGCAGGGAGATCTGGAGGGCTAGGTGGGGGTCTGCTAGCAGAGGCTTCTGGGTGAGGTGGGCCAATAAAGGGGGAGGGAAGCCCTTGGGTAAGCTGAGAGCTGCAGACCACAGCCAGGCTGGCAGAGAAGCAGAGACAGGGGGGCAGGGTAGGAAGCAGTGCACCCCAGGGAGGACCAAGAGTTCTGGGGTCACCCCGACCTGGGCCCTGACCCCAGTCATGTGACTTGGGGCAGCAAGAGACCACCTTGTCCTTATCTGTAAGATGGAGCCGACAGAATCACATCACACAGACAGAAGGACCAATGGAATGGGTGCGCACACTGTGGGTCCTCAATGCACGTTAGCTGCCATGACTCAGGGAGAGCATAGTGGGTGGGCATGGAGGGGGTGAGGATGGAGAGCTGAGGCCTCCCCCAGGGGTGGCTGATTCTCTGCGCTTGCTGGTCTCAGCTCGTGGCCTCTGCGCCCCGACACCCCATCTACAGGGCTCTGAGCCCAAGGAGGTGTCTGGCACACTGCAGACACTCAGCCAGAGCTGTTATTCTTCCAGTACTCACACCCCTCAGAGTGGCGCCTCCTCTGTGCTTGGGGTGTCTGTGCCCAGGGTATCCCGAGCTTGTAAGGGTGGCCAGCTGACCCAACCTGCCCGCTGCCAGCCACTGGATATGCTGCTTCGACACCCTGAAGCGCACAACAAAGCACTGGCATTGTCACATGTGCTCTGCCTCTGCTGCCGCAGCTTCAGCCGCCCTGTCCCTCCTGAGCACCCCAACCCCCCACTTCTCAGCGCTGACCCTGCGAAGCCCTTTCCTGCGGGCAGTACAGGCCCCGCCTTGGCTGGCTTCCCCTGTACTGCCACCAACATGTGGGTGCAGGCAATGGTGCCCCAGAGAAGAAGGGGCCCCAAGAAGCAGGCCTCCCCTGGGCCCAGCAGCCTTGGCCCCGCCAGGCTTGGGTTCTACCTGGGGGAGGGGATTCTGGACCTCGAGGCCAAGGGCAGTCGCCAGCCAAACACCTGACAGCTCCCTGCGTGGCCCGGACAGATCTGGAGCGCAAGTTCCTGGACACGCCTCCCATTTCTCCTGCTGGGGATGTGGTTGCCTCTTACCTTTGGGGTGAGGTACTTGGTCATAATTTCCTTCCCTTTCTCTCCCAGCTTTTCATCTGGAGTAACTTCATATTCTGCCTAAAGTAGAAGAAAAGAACAATAATAGATTTACTCATACGCTTCCTATAGTTACAGAACCTGCGAGACACCTGGAGGTCAGCTGACCAATCCCTGCCTTCTGTGGGGGGGAAACTGAGGTCCGGAGAAGGGAGAAGCCCTGGTCAAGGAGACTGGATGTTGAGCCCAGCCGACTTGGCCCCCTCCAGGGACTTGTGCTCACATAGAGCTCCCCTCTCCAGCCCTGCACGACAGCTGCAGGGAGCAAAGCTGGTGTTGCCCCCGCCCCACCCCTGACGCAGCGAGGGTCAGGCATCCCAGCAGCTGGGGTTGAGACGCAGCGAGGGTCAGGCATCCCAGCAGCTGGGGTTGAGAGCTGCTGAAAACAAAAAAAGGGGGAAATGCTGCAGGGGCCCTTGCAGGCCCAGCCAGGTAAGACACTGGCAAGCAGCTAAGAAAAGGGCCCCACCAAACTGGAGACCAGAGGGGCTACCCTGGGGTGCTCAGGGCTGGCAAGCTGTGAGACCTTAGCCTCCCTGGAAAGCGCAGAGGGAAGGAGCACCCACGTGAAGAGTGAGCTGCAGATGGATGTGATGAAGGCTTGGCCCAGAGCTGGGCACATAATAAACTCCCGACAGCTGCCATCATTATCACCACGATGATGACGATCACATGTTGCAAGGAAAAACATGCCTTGTCTTACCTTTTGCGTCTTTTTGGCTTACAAAGTGAACAGAGTTGGTCAGGTGATTTTATTGGAATTTCAAGAGAACCCCAGGTAGTGATATGGGGGGCAGGGGCCAGCATCATCCCCTTCACCCCCAGATGAAGAGCAGGAGGTGCAGCAGAGACCAGCTAGTGGCCCAGGGTCACCCAGGGGCAGGTGGCAGGACAGGGACTCGAGCCTCCAAGTCTGAAGTTCTTTCTCAACAACACCGAGGAATCTAGGACTCCAGCTGGCTGGCGAGCCCGCGGGACCAGAGCCCTGAAGAAGTGGGCCTCCCACGGCAGGCCTTGTCATTTCCCTCGACCGAGAAGGGCTCCTTCGCTCCCGTCGGGCACTCACGCCAAGCGGATGAAAGGCCTGAGCACACCAGACGCCTGGGTAAGCTTGCTTTTCTCCCGCAGACAAGGGAACTAACTGCAAATTGTTTATAACCATTTCAAAATCCACCCCCCAAGGATCTGTCAGCGCCGGTCCAAAGCTATAGCTCTTTCAAAAGAGGCAGAGGAAATGACATTCGCACGGACGGTTGGAAATTCCTTCCCCACCATCTTGCTGGGGAGGCAGAAGCCCTGGTCCTCCTCACCTGATTCAAAGCCACCTCCTGACCCAGGGTCTAGGTCCCAGCTTCTCCCCGGGTCAGCCCAGGAGCCCCTCCTGGGCCAGAGGGGATACTGCCCACAGGGGCAGCCAGACCACGTCCATGCAAAGGAGCCCGGCCTGGAGCTGCCATTTCTCTTCCAGTGGAGAATCACGACTCAGTGATGTCTCCAAGGAGGGGACACTGACACTATGATCGTCTGGGTCATGAGGCTCCAGGGACAGCGCCCACCTCCTCCCTTTATACAGCAGACACCAAAGCTCCGAGGCGGGGCGGATCCGTCACACGCTGCTCACCCAGCTGGCTGTCATGGCGCTGGGACTGGACACGGGCCTCGGTGTGCCTGGGTCACAGCTTCAAGCCTCTCCCGCTGAGGAGCCTTATGGGGCTGCGGCTTTCTTGATGGTGCGATTTGATGAGGGATTTTGTGAGACTGTTTAAGGGGAGGAGGCTTTCTTCTGAACTTTTTCCTGTTCTTTTCTCCCTCTCTGCTCTCAACAATCCCCCAAAGCTGACATGCCTGCACCCCACCCCACCCCACTTGCAGCAGGAGCACTGGCTCCAGGACTGCTACACAAGGTAGATGTATGGTTGTTCCCCACTTAAGGCAGAAGTAGCTGGAGCCCTGAAGCCAAGGACCATTTCAAATGCACTGGGGCATGGGGAAGGGCTGGGAACTGCATCTCTAAAGGGTTGAGCCTTCTAGAACACAACTCGCCACCCTTTTCCAGGGTGAGGACAGCAGTACCTTGTGTCCTGCGGTGCTGGGAACCCCACTGTGCCGAGGTATCTGGCCTCATGGGAATTTACCCAGACTGCTCTGCAGGACCCCGGGCAAATGGCCGGCCCCCTCCGGGGGGGATCACTCAATCTCACGCAGGGTGCTGGATGTGCACTGTCCCCAAATACAGCGTGAAGGCAGTTCTGTTTAACTAAATGAGGGTCTGAGGCTCACCCATCAGCCTCAGTAACCAGCTGAAAATATTATTGCTCTGGCTACTAAAACCCATGTTCAAAAAATAACATCACTTTCAGGTCAGCTGCCTCCAGCAAAGGCCGGGCTGGGCGGCCGCCGTTCCACAGAGAGGCAGCCGGGAGCACGCGGGGACAGGCAGCCCAGCCCGGATCAAAAGGCCTTTCTTTGGTAGTCCAGGTTAGGTCATCACCACATGAAGAGCATTTGTGCTGGGAGGCAGAGAACCAGCAGCCACCAGCTGGGCCTTCTACCGAGTTAAGTCACCTGGAGCGACAGGTCCCTGGGAGGGCATCATGGGGACCAGCTCTGAGGCAGGAGCCCCTGGGAACACATGGCTGGGGGCACCTCCCCCAGGGAGTGGGTAAACGCTGCTGAGATCAGCTTAAACCAGAATACATAGCGGCAAATAAGAAGTTGGGCCAACAGCCTAGACTTAGCGCTGGTTCAGGAAATGACAGACAGTAACTTCCATGAAAAGGGAGGAAAGCCATCTGCAAGCAAGGGCCCGTGGCCGCCTTCTGGAAGACAGTTAGCTCCTTGCAGCCAGAGAGTGGGGGGCCTTGTCCTCTTGCCCCCACAGACAGGCCTTGGTCAGACACAGCACACGCCCTACATCCTCCCTGTTGTAAGGCCCACTTGGAACTCACTCCCGCCCTGAGTTCAACTCCAACCGCCAGAGCACAAAGAGCGCCCATCCCCAGGGAGGGCATTTTTCCTTCCCAGACACATCCAAGGTGCCAGCCAGGAGGTAGGGGGGGCGGGCAGCCTTTATGAGCCTGCTCTTTGCACTGTGATTTATGCCAGACACAGGCCTGGCCTTCGGGGAGGGGAGGCCGCTCGAGCACAAAGGGCAAAGTACTACAGAGTTTAGGGCCAAAAGAATGATTGTTCCCCGCATGTCTGCCAAAGAGCATAAACATCTGTGTGCATCCTCGTCTATAAACCTCATACTTCATCCTCTGGGCCGGCTCTTGTTGCATCATCAATCTCAGAAAACGCCAGTGAAAATATGTCCTCTCTGTGCAAACACATTTCCCTCAGATCATTTTTTGAAAACAGGGATCGTGCAGGCTGGCCTGAGGGAAGCTGTTCGAATCGGCGGGTCCCAAGAGCGCAGGGTCGGGGCTGGCCTCCTCATGGCCTCTCACTAACTGCAGCTGTCACCTCCTTCTCCTCGGGGGCCAGCTCCTGCCCTGACTGGGAGATGAAGTCAGACGGCGATGAGGGCTTGCCGCCTCGGCTTCTGTGGTGACCGATGTGGTCAGCTTTTCCAGCATCCTGGTCGCAGGGACTGGCTGGCAGCGCCGCTCACCCCGGCTCTTTCTGGAGAAACACCGGCTCCACCCGTGCTGGCCACGGTCTTGCCTGGGCTGACCGCGTGGGCTCACTCTGCCTTTGCCTCACTCCACCCTGCGGGTGGCCATTGAGGGTGAGGGTGGGGAGATAGCCGCTGGCCCCCACCTGGGGCTCCATGGGTTCCTGTACCCCTGTAGCCTGTACTCGTGGAGGTTGCCTCCTCCCACCCGTCCTGCTCTGTTCGCTCTTGTCCCTGCAGGACAGGCAGCAGGCTCAGACAGGCCGCAAGGGCCGCTCCTGGGTGCCCTATCAGTCAGGTACCCTTCCTCACACAGGGTGGGCCGCCATGTCCTGCCAGGACCCAACAAACCCTGAACAACCCTTCAGCAAGTTGGGCGCTGACCTGGCCCCCTCTCTGCTCCCCAGCTGAAGGAAGAAGCACTACATTGAGAAGTATGCCTCAGGTGCCCCAGGGTCAGATGGACTTGGTCAGCCCCAAAGCCTGTGTCCACCGGGCATGCTCCCTCCTTTGAGAGATCACAGCAGTGACAGGACACACAGGGCACTCCTATAAACGAGAGAAGCAGAACCTTAGTCCCCTGGGAAGCACAGAACTCATTTTATGACAGGCCTTCAGGATAACCAGATGGAGATAAGATCAACTGATAGCCCATCAATTTCAAGTGATTTTCTATAGTCCAGTATTAAAGAAAGGCTTGTATGGCTTTTAGCATTTCCTGACATGAGATGTCATGTGCTGTCAACTCCGATGTGTATATGCCAGGCTCCAAATGGCCCTAGTAACCCCTGCTGCTCACTGCTCATGCTCCAGCAGTCTCTTTCCACACCAGCAGTGGCTAACCTGTGTACCCAGCAGGAGATCAGGGACACGGACATTACAGAACTTCTGAAGCTATGGTATAAAGGACACGGCAGCTTCTACCTGATTCTCTTGGGTCACTTGCATTGGGAATGTCAGCCACATGACAAGGACAGTCCAGCAGTGTCTGGTGTGGTTCCTAACCCCACACATGGCAGATCACCCAGCTGCTGCCCTGCCGCCAGCACCTCTTGTGCATAAAAATGTGGGAACAGGTCCTCCGGCCACAGTCAGGCCTTCAGATGACTGCAGACCCAGCTACAGTTTCTGAGAACTTGAGCCAGTAGCACCTAGGAACACCATTCTTGAATTCTTGACTCACAACTAAGAGAAAATAAATGCTTATTGTTTCAATCAACTTCGTTTTGAGGTAATTTGTTACTCAGCCAGAGATAACTAGTATTCAACCAGAATCTGAACTTAAAGCTAGCATGGCTTGCTTCCTTAAACATTTTTCCTTCCTTAGTCATTCTTTAACCTTTCATTCTACCAGAAAGCAAGCTCCATGAGGGCAGGGCCTGCCTCCTCCCGCTCACTGTGCAGC